TGATTGGTCGAGTGGCCAGTGGCGCAAAGCGATTGTTCGTGGGATTATGACTAAATGCCCCTAAGGCAAAAGACCCCTAACCGCGAAAACGAAAGTCGTTGCGAGAATAATCCTGCGCGGTGCGAGAGGAACTGCAGGGTCAGACACTTTTTGGTTTGGTCTCTTGTTGTGAGGACGTCGAAGTGCGAGAAGCAAGAAGAACGAACGTATACCCCAGAATAGATTTGAACCTTGGGGTACGGACTCACCACTTTGAACTTGTACCTGGCTAAGATTCTCGTTAGCCGTAACAATATCCTCGAACCCGATACCGTATTTGTTACTATAACCAACATACCGTTTAGTTGTGATATTTTGGCGTCTCCCGTTATGGATCCCGCCATAATATTCAATAATATAACATGTTACAGTTTTCTCCGCTATCTCCCCACCGAAGAGGCTGCACAGAAGTTTTACCATCTTGTGGGGCTCGTGCCACATCCAGACCTAACCGGTTTCTTTCTGCCATGTCCTAAGTGCGGAGGTAAGCCTTTTCTCGATTCCCGCGTTTACACGAGTGCTATCTGCAGCTATCTGGGTTAATGTTACTACTTCTTCGAAAATGGCGTCGCTTCGGTTAGGTTCGTTTCATTTCCATTACATTAGCTACATTTTTATCTGTCTGGACCACGAACCGTTGGAAGTACGGCCATTTTGAAACCATGGATAACAGTAACCGCTATCCTGTTTCGATATTTTACCCGTGAGTTAATAGTAGTAGTATTGGTAAACCTTAACTGCCAATATTCCAATTTACTAGTTTTTCGATATTTTTGTCGTAATCTTTAGGCAATATGCAAAAGGAACCAGCTCCATCTTACAGGTTCGAATTCGTCTACCGCTGTGAAAAAGTACAGCAGAAAAAGAAGATGAGGAGGCAGACTGGCGGCACCGTCTTCAGGGCCATGTGCACTGGTTCCCTGTCTTGCACCCACAACACCTATTTCGAAAGGACACAGCTGTCAGGCCTCTTGGGCTGACAGCTGTGTCCTTTCGAAAAAGGTTTTTGACAGCTGTGACATTTGAAGTCGCTCGCGAAACGTGATCGCAGAATCGGCGGTTTCTTTTTCTCTGGGTCACGTTACGCTATGTTTCTGTAATTTGATCGTATGGCTTGAGATGATATGTGTGTTGTTGGTTTTCTATTTTACAGGTGCTGATGCTTATTTATTCGTGGGTCAATCAGGAGCCGGTCACCGTCGCCGCAGAGGAATGCGGCGTGGCCCCCAAAACAGCAGTTGATTGGTATAATTACTGCTGTGAAGGTGCGGAGGTTTTTGTCTCTCACCAGCAAAATATGCAGCTTGGGGTGAAGACATGCACGTTGAGATGATCATCGTCCAATGTTTCTGACTTTGCCGAAATGTCTGTCTCTATATTCGTATGTTTTATTTTCAGATCGACGAGACCTTCACCCGGAGGCGAAAATACAACCGTGGTCGCGTAACTAAAGGCACCCAAATTACCATCTTTGGTGCCTATTGTCAGGAAACAAAAGAGGTGATGTACTGGCATGTAAGTAGTAGCCAAGCATTATTATTCAAGCATTATTATTTCTTTTTATTTTTTAGTTTTTGTGGAAGTTTTATCATAGTTTCAAATATTCTTTCAGATGGAGAACAAGAGCCGACAGGTTCTCTGGAGCGACATGCTCAGATACATTGCCCGCTGTTCCATCATTGTTTCCAACAGCGCAGCCCAATATCGCAGTTGTATGGCGATGGGCTTTTCTGAACATAAGACCATCAATCACAGCCAGCAGGGCCCCGAGAGGTAAGGAAGATAAAACTGTGCAATGTGTTATGCGAAAGAAATGAACATGCGTTATTGAAAAGTGACATTTTTATTTTATTTTCCAAGCAGATTCGTCGACGCCGATGATTCCGAGGCCCACATTCAGAACATCGAGTGCAGAAATTGCTCGCTGAAAAAGTCCATCAAGTCGCTCTGCACGGACAGGAGCCTGCAGAGCTACAACTGCATGTACGTGTACAGGATGCGGGTCCTGTCCTAGTTGACAACAACATCAACAAAATTCCAGCAGTTTCTCAAGGACATTGCGGCCATCTACCCGGGCCCCAGTTGTCAGGGTCTCCAACTCCGGATGATCAGTGTTTCCGCGGATCAACATCTGCTGCCAAACGAGCCGTATTTCGATGTTCCCGTGCACGAGGGCAACGAAGAGGAACGGCAGGGGGATGACGACCACCTAGTGAGTAGTGCAGTTTGTGTATAGTGAGCGTGACCAAAGGATACCTATTTGCGGATTTGAAACCTGGATTATGTGATTTTTCAGACAACATCGGGTGCTAACAACACCTTCGTCATCAACCCCCAGGACCTAGCTGAGGTGGGGACCAGCGACCTCACCCGATCCTCACCTACGCAACATCGGGAATAGGCTAGGCATCGCCAGGTAGCGAAAAGACGTGGCGAGAGACGCAGGAAGAGACGCTGTTGAAGGTGAGTGTACAATCTGGTTTCAAAACGGTTTTCTATTAGCCTAAGTAGTAACAGTCACCTCCGAAGAGGTAGGTCAGGTGTTTTGGACAAGCTGCAAAAGCGGCGCATAGTACTAGCTGACCATGATTGAAACTGAATATGAAGCCATCCAACTAAATCTATTAGTCTACTTTGTTTACGAATATTAAATCTTTTAACCATTCCTTCATTATTTTCTTTTATGGAATCCATACGTTGTGCAGTATCATTAAAAAACAATGCACTTGTTAAAAAGGTTTGTTATGCTTCTTTTCAGTAAAATAATAAGGCCTCCAAAATTGCTGGATAGGGATAATTAACTTCTGAAATTACTTGCTTGTTATTTAGAAACGCTGCATTGAGAGAACAAACTATTTAAAAAATAATTGACAAGAGCAACTTTTTTATCTGCAGAAGTATTTGTTCCATTTTTCTTTACGATTTTTGCTTGAACATTTAGATAAATTGAATGCATATCGATATAATTTTCACTAGAACCGGATACACAAAATTTGATTGGTGTTCGACTTTCCGAAATTGTCGCAACAGGATGAACTATAACTTCTGATGTATTGTCAATAGTTAGTTAAGTCGAAACAGTACAGGTAGCCCTCGGTTTACGCCGGTTCAATTTACATCGATTCACAATAACGCCACTGCGCAATTCGCTGTTTCGAGGTGTAATTTCCTGATTTTTCCTATGCTGGACTGATTTCAGTGTTGACGTATTTACTGAGCCGCGACATTGTACAGTACATTCGTTAAAACAAAATTTTTTTTTGAATATATTTATTTTTTTAATATTATTGGGTATGTATACATTTGCCTTAAATTAATATTAAAATACTAAACATTTAGGTACCCACGAGTCAAGATATTAAACTTAATAGTCCAATAAATGGCATCCGAATCCATAGGGCCAGTGAATGTATCCCGTATTAGTTCATTCAGGAAAACACCTTACGACACAATAGCACTTTCGGCGATCACAAATTATCGTTAGTGAGACAAATCTACTTCTCGTTGGCCAGACGATATTTATCTCTCCGTAGCCACGTTTAATTTTCCCACTCAAACTGACGTTATATATGCGCTACGGCGATCGGTGGTCGACCAACCAGTGTCTTCGCTCGTCTGTAGCTCTACGTGGTGTTAATGTATCCTTTTAACTAAGGAAAGTTTGACAGATGAAGTTTGTGAGTAGACAATGATCGGGCGCGAAATGCAAATGTAAAAAGGAGCATCATATTCGACCATATTTCGAAATTCTTAATGAAAAAAATCAAAAATATAAACAATTAAAGATGGATACTTTTTTCCCGAAAAATGTAAGAAATTCGATACTAAAATTTTTAAATAAAAACATTTTAGTTTATTTTATGTTAAGATACATTTTAAAAATTAAATTTATATGTATTTTGTATTATATTGTATTAATAAACAAAATTATTAGCTTATTTTTCACTTATGTAGAACCTAACCCTATACCTCACTGTAAATATGGGTTCGTTTTACGCCGATTCGATTTGGGCCGGCTTTTATAGGAACGGAACTGCGGCATAAACCGAGGGCTACCTGTAATTTCTATCGCCGTCATAAGTAATAATAAAACCATATGTCTCCATGATTGCAATATTTAATCTTGGTATTAAAAATAAATTCTAATGTTCCTTAAAACTATATTTATATCAAAAACAGACCAATCGTATATCTTCTCTAAAATAATTCATACTCAAAATAAAAATTAGTTCATAAAGTGAATGAGAAAATATAATTAATTTTTAAAAACATTTCATAATTACACTTATTGTTAAAATAAAATTAATTTAATTAAAATTTGTGATTAAGATTTCTCTTAAAAAATTAATTTTGTGATCAGTATGTGTCAAACCACTACTACTAATATTCAATATTGTTTGCCAAATTTAGAGAAAAGTATTGTCATCGGGAGTAGCTAAATATGATAAGTTTCAACCAGATCGAAAATAAAAAAGTGGCTGAAAATTGACATATATTATTTTACTTCGACAGACAAAATGAAATCAGAATTAAATAAAAACGTATAAATATAATGTTTATATTATTAATTATCACAAAATACAAACAAGGCCTAATTTTAAAAAAAGAAATGAATTTAGAAAAAAATATTGTAAGTGTAAACAATGAGTAAATCTGTTATTAAATCTGACCTCAGTCTAAATATAACACGTGATTCACTCGACTTCCTGACAACCTTGAGTTCCTTACACCGGAATTTAATGCCACTAATATCTCATATAGATCTATCCATGCCAAATTTTTAGAAATTGATACTAACATGGCTATAATAATTGCTTATATTATAACAGCACTGAATGTAATAAATATGTAAAATAGCGCAGAGATTCCTAGTGTAAGTACATTACGTAAATTCATGACACATTAAAAATTTTACATGGATTTTAAGGTTTTATTTAAAGAAAATCTAATTATGTAATTTATACAATAAATAAATAGATAACATTATTTAATACAAAAACCGGTTAAAGTGATACAGCCATGGAAATAAAATATATTCACTGTTAAATATTGTTTAAATACGAGCTATTTGCGAATAGAATTAGATTTTATATTTTCTGAAATGAAAAATTTACCATGATATTTTCATATTTCAATTTTTTACGTCTAGGTATGTGGGACGTCCGACGATGTGAGTTTTTATAAAATCATGGTGAACACTGATTGACATGTAAACATCTGGTTTTCCAGTATTATTTTCGCCGTAAGACAAAATGCCAATAAGCACTGGTCTTTTTAACGCATCTCTCATGATCAGTGGTGAGCCAGAATCTCCCTGTAACAATAAAATTTTTATAAATAACAAGATAACATTAACTATAACCATAATATGAAAAGTAGTAACTGCTTTACTTTCATGCCTATTACTCTAGATGACACTGTTGTAATTTCTTTGTTAGTTAATTTGTAGTGGAATTTACGAGCCACGTATTTTGGTTCTACTAAGTTTACTTTCGCTACTTGAAGAAGGTCTGTTTTATCATTTTTTTCTAAATTACATAAAAAGTCATTCATAGTATTTTTATTGTCGCACAAAAATTTGAATAATATAGAAAAATAACAGACTTACTGAAACCAATATCTCCCCAACCGACCAACGTGGCGTCACCTTCAGTAAATGTTAAGTCTTTTCCAACTAAGGCGATCGGAGATATCTTGTTAATACGGTGTGCGAGAATCAGCAGTGCAATATCATTGTGAAGTGTTTCTGAATCATAATGTGGGTGTTTAATTCTTCTCCGAAACATCACTTTCTTCCCCGCGTTTTTGTTAACGTCTCCTATTCTTCCGTAATAATCTTTGACTTTGTAACTGAATAAAAACGAAATTTAAATAAATAATCATATGGTGAAACAATAGAATAAAGCAAAAATATTATTACATTACTTTTCCGATTTGTAATCACATTTTTTGTTTTTATCTTTTACTTACTCTTTCTGAAAACAGCTTTGTCAGAGAAATGGCAGTGAGTTCCTGTTTGTATCTTGGAATCTCTATTGTAGCCGAGTAAGTAGATGAACGGGATGATAGGAAAATTCAATTCTACTTTGATATGGTCAATTTTCCAAATAAGTTTGAATTCCGAAACGACTTACTATATTAATCTGGTTCATATATTATGTTAACCACTTGAAGGAAGCTTTCCTAGTGCTTTTTCTAACTAAACCCTATGTCATTTATTACATTACTTTTGTACATTCTGTACAAAAATAATGTAATGTGATTCTGTAAAAATTGTTACATCTGCATACTTCTTTTGGTAGCTGTACTTTTGTCACGGTGTAAAATATAAAAACTTTGTTTTCTCGTTTATAAATAAGACTTAGAATAAATTCTGTTTGATTCAATTGAGTATTTTGACTGTTTTGTTATGTGATTTTTTCAACTATCACAATGTTAATTATGTAGCAGGTGGTAAACAAAATAGAGATTAAAGTTTTAAAAAATATGTCAACGGTAGCTCTACTTTTGGTCACTACTGTATATCAGCGTTGGAATAGGAATAGAAGGCAAGGGGCCCTGCGTCCTACGAACGAATCTGAATACAAACACTGGAAAATTTTTTAAAATTATTTTCAGATTAAATTTCAATTTTTTGATTTACACTATATTATGTCTTGTCTTCTGCTACTATTTATGAATTGAATATTCAATTCATAAATAGGATTCAATAAAATTCCTATGAATATTGGAATTTTATTGAATCCACATTAAAAATATTATTACCGATTTTACTCTGCTCTGATTTTCAGAGTTTATGTACTGAGTGCGCTACCGTATCTCATTATTCAAACATCAAAAAATTGATTAATCTGTTTCCGACTTTTACAACACAACGTCCTTTTTTTGTCGCATAGTTGCATTTCATGCGTAAAAATGACTATAAAGGAAATACAATATCAATATATATATATAACTTTTTGTTAAAGTTTTCGTCGGACGGCAAAAGTTATATATATAACTTTTGCCGTCCGACGAAAACTTTAACAAAAAGTTATATATATATATTGATATTGTATTTCCTTTATAGTCATTTTTACGCATGAAATGCAACTATGCGACAAAAAAAGGACGTTGTGTTGTAAAAGTCGGAAACAGATTAATCAATTTTTTGATGTTTGAATAATGAGATACGGTAGCGCACTCAGTACATAAACTCTGAAAATCAGAGCAGAGTAAAATCGGTAATAATATTTTTAATGTGGATTCAATAAAATTCCAATATTATGTATCCAGTAATTCATAAATAGTAGCAGAAGACAAGACACAATATAGTGTAAATCAAAAAATTGAAATTTAATCTGAAAATAATTTTTTTAAATTTTCTAGTGTCTGTTTTCCAATTCGTTCGTAGGATGCAGGGCCACTTGCCTTCTTTTCCTATTCCAACGCTGATATACAGTAGTGACCAAAAGTAGAGCTACCGTTGACATATTTTTTAAAACTTTAATCTCTATTTTGTTTACCACCTGCTACATAATTAACATTGTGATAGTTGAAAAATTCACATAACAAAACAGTCAAAATACTCAATTGAATCAAACAGAATTTATATTTTACACCGTGAGAAAAGTAGAGCTACCAAAAGAAGTATGCAGATGTAACAATTTTTACAGAAGCACATGGTATAAATGTACAAAAATAATGTAATGAATAACACAGGGTTTAGTTAGAAAAAACACTAGGAAAGCTTCCTTCAAGTGGTTAACATAATATATGAACCAGATTAATATAGTAAGTCGTTTCGGAATTCAAACTCACCTGGAAAATTGACCATATCAAAGTAGAATTGAATTTTCCTATTATCCCGTTCNTCCCCACTCTCTCGACCTTTAACCACCAACATTTAATAGCATCAATCTCCCTAACAAGCAAATCTCCCTGCAAAATTTTAGAAATTTTCGACAAAACTGCAAGGGTTATTATGCTTGAAAAAAGTGAATTAAATCGTGCCTACACACACTAACATCCAAACATACAGAAATTACTCCCGAACACTTTTCCATTTCTCGGCGTTTCAAGGTGTTCTAAGTCCAAAACCTTAAAATCTTGGTGGTCATTTTTCGACCGATCGCCATACATCACTTCCCTTCCGTTATATATAAAAGTCGGAAAAGTAAAACTGCTATAAATATTGAGTGAACGCCTCCTGGATAAAATATGAGGAAATAAATGAAGACGGGCAATAAATACTTTATCCACACTTTCTGATACCAGATTGATTACATAATGGTGAAAGAAAGATATAGAAATCAAGTCACGAAGTCAATCAATTACCCAGGAGCAGATGCAGAGAGTGATCATAATCTCGTAATTATGAACAGTAAATGAAAATACAGGAGACCTTTAAGATAAAGGGAAGGTGTAATGAAATTTGGAAAAGTTAAGGAATGAGAAGTTCAAACAAAGATTGGACAAAGCAATTGGAAAGACCTTGGGTGGTGATAGATTTAAAGATAAGTGAAACTACTTTAAGGAGAATACAGTGGAACCTCGATATACGTCTGCTTTAGAATACGTCAAATTCGGAATACGTCCTGTTTGTACAAAACAAATTTTGCTCGGTATACGACTTTTGTTCGGTATACGACTTAATTATACGCGCCATCTATGAACAACTGTCGGTGTACTAGACCGGAGTAGACGTTCGTGGTGCCACAGTTTATAACTTTGTTAGATTTCTTCTGATTTTAATTTGTAAGTAAAATTTTATTATTAATCATGAATTGCAAGAAGGCAAATGAAAAGCAACAGAAAACTAAAAAAAATAACTAGAATCACAATGGAACTGAAAAAAGAGATTGTTGAGAAATATGAAGGTGGCACGCGTGTTCGAGATTTTAACTGTGGCATACCGTATTCCGAAAACGACGATATTGACAATCGTGAAAAATAAAGACATTATTAAATCTGCTAACGTTGCGAAAGGGGTTAAATCAATTTTTAAACAGAGATCGAAGACATTAAATCATGTTGAGAAATTGCTTTTGCTTTGGATAAGTGAAAAACAGTGTGCTAGAGACACCGTATCAGAAGCAATTATTTGCGAGAAAGCTACAAAAATACATGCTGATCTCATGAAAAATCAAGCAGGAACTAGCCAGGAAAGCTAGGTGTTTAAAGCCAGCCGTTTTTTTTACATGAAAACGAATTAATCATTTTTACATTACTTCTTATGGGAAAGGTTGATTCGGTATACGTCCTATTCGGTATAAGTCCAACAATCAGGAACGGATTAAGGTCGTATACCGAGGTTCCACTGTATATTGAATATAGCCAATGAGGTTATAGAGTATAAACAAAGTGATGTAAGTAAACCATGGATCACGAAAAAAATGATAATGTGGTTTTTTTGGTTCTGTTGCCTTTACTTTTCGTCGCTGCGTGTGATAGAGACGAATGAAACGAGATCGTAACAAAAACTGAGTTTATTGTCTTCCTCCTGTATACAGTCGATCCCCCTATAAGATCATTGATTTTTCCGTTTTATCTGAATTACATGTTGTACGAGTCACTTAGATTTTACAAATATGTGAGCCGTTCACAGCCCGGCACACGTATTTGTAAAATCTAAGTGAATCGTACAACATGTAATTCAGATAAAACGGAAAAATCAATGATCTTATAGGGGGATCGACTGTATTGTACTTTGCATGTCTCGACGACGCGGCTGTAAAAAACAACTGACGGTCGAGGTCTTAATGGGTGAGTTCGAATTTATTGCAGGAAGTGATGACTTATACATCCGGGGTTCGTTGCTTGTTTTCTTACGACGGTTAAGATGTTAAGGGTGCCGTTCGCCACAATAGTAAAAATAGAAAAGAAAAGAAAATGAAAAAAATGTAAATACTGAAATAGGACAAAAAGATATAGGAAGATGAGAAACGAACTACAAAGAGAAAGTAAAAAGGCTAAAAAGGAGTGGTGGAGAGAGAGGTGTGAGATGGTTGAGGAATTGGAGAAAAAAGGCCGAAGTGACCTTGCATTTAATGAGATTAGGAAATGGACCAAGAAGAATAATACAATCAAAATAGAATCAGTAAATGATAAAAATGGTAAACTCCTGATTAATGAAGAGGATATCACTATAAGATGGAGTGATTATGTGGAAAGCTTGTATCGGGTTGATATACTATTAGAGAAAACAAAACCCCGATAATCAACGAAGAAGTACTCCCCATTTTACGTGCTGAATTCACAAATGCACTGAACTTTATATATATAAAATTGCTTGTCCTGACTGACTGACTGACTCACTCACTGACTGATTCATCATCGCCCAGAGCAAACCGCTTAACCTAGAGAGGTGAAATTTGGTAGACAATTAGGGTACGTCATGAAAACGCACACTAAAAATAGATTTTTCGAAATTCTTCCGCGGGGGGGAGAGGAAGAGGATTAAGTCTAAACCGGAAAAACGGCTTCTACTGTACTATTTTAGATGCGATTTTTTCTTTTTATATGCGTTTTAGTAGGGTATGCCATGGGAATTCACATTAAGAAAGGATTTTTCAAAATTTCCCCACGGGGGAGGAGAGGTAGAGCATTAAGGCTTAACCGGAAAAACGGCTTCTACTGTACTATTTTAGATGCGATTTTTTGTTTTCAACTACGTTTAGTCTTCATTGAGTACTTAGGTGTATTAAATTGATAACATTTCAGACATTTCGATTTTAAAAATGTTTGATCCGTTTTAAATTCGAATTTGTTATTGCATATTAGTTCGATTATAGAATGATTGTAAACGTTCCAGAAACTTGATCAAATTGAAGATAGTTCGTTTGATTCTGGGCAATTCTCTTCAGCGGTAGGTGTTATATGACAATTACTATGGTTATTGAAATATTGAATGTAAATGGGGTTTGCTTGCAAAACCACCGCGGACGAAGTTGCAGGTAACAGCTAGTAACAAATGAGACGACGACAGGAATAGACCAAATCCCGATAGAGTTTATTGAAGACAGAGGTGACACCATACAAAGGTCTCTATTTGAGTTAATCAACCAGATATACATGAAAGGAGAATGGCCTAAGGATTATTCCTCAACAATAATGATACCATTACCAAAAAAGAGCAATGCAGTAGAACAGCGTTTCTCAAAGTGGGTGATAATGCCCCCTTGTGGGCGCTGGAAGCTTTCAGGGGGGCAGTAGAAGGCTCAAAGAGAATTGGGGGCGTTAAGGAAATATAGAGGGGCGGCGGCAGACAAATTCTATATATAAAAATTCGACGGAATATATATAAAATGTTGACATTTTATATTATATATATATTTTTTTATTTTTTATTGAAGGTCACAACTTGAATATTTCTAACACATTGACTTTTATTTTAGCTCAGCGTTTCTCAAAGTAAGCAATAACGCCCCCTTCTGGCGCGATGAATAGATCTATGATAGAGGCAGGGTATTGAACGGTGACCAAAGGCAAAATTGGGGCTGATAAGAGGAAACATTGCGTTTAATGGTTTCCAGATGAGAACAATGTACAGTAAGGGCACAAAGTGTGAGATTCATAGAAAAGTTTTCCTAAGAATATTTCCAATCCTTTTCTCACACAAGAGAAAATGGGTTAGGGGGCGTTGGGTATAACTTTATGGAACAAAGGGGGCGGTGGATCGAAAAAGTTTGAGAATCACTGCAGTAGAATGTAGTGAATGTCGCGCAATAAGCCTAATATCCCATACTTCGAAAATACTATTAAAGATAATAAAGAACAGAATTGAAGATAAAATTAAAGCTTATATCGAACCAGACCAATTTGTGTTTCAGAAACAAAATGGAACAAGAGATGCCATAGCAAGCTTGAAAATGCTAGGCGAAAGAGTCATAAACCAAGGGAGAAATCTCTATGCATGCTTTATAGATTATGAAAAGGCATTCGACAGAGTAAAATGAAATAAACTCTTTACCATATTAATAATAATTGGAATGGAAGGGAAGATTAATATTTTAATAGAAAGACTATAGTTGGAGCAGCAAGCAAAGATAAAAATTGATGCTGTCGTAACAGATTTAATAAACATCCAAAAAGGAGTAAGACAAGGGTGCTTACTTTCCCCTGACTTATTTAATATATACTCAGAAAAAAATGATGAATGAGGCTGTGGAAAATACGAAATAGTTATAATACTTGGTGAATACATCAAGTCCATAAAATTTGCTGATGATCAAGCCATATTGGCTACTAGTAGAAAAGATCTTATAAAAATGTTAATAAATATAAACAGAACAGCTGAACTTTATGGCATGAAAATAAACTTTAACGAAACTAAGTACTGTACATGACATTCTCTAGACGCCGTAAGGTAATGAATATAGTTATTGATGGAGAGGAGATAGAACAGGTGGAAATATTCAGATATTTGGAACAAACACTGACAAAACATGCAAGGTGCTCAAAAGAAATAAAAAGAAAAATAGGCCAAGCAAAAAAGTCCTTTAGGAAAGAAAGAGAAATTGATAACCGCGAAAAACATGGATACAAAACTAAGAAAACGCATACTGAAAATTTATGTATGGAGTATAGCAACAATATGCACGGACACATGGACATTATTAACAAGAGATAAACAGAGATTGGAGGCATTTGAAATGTGGTGTTGTAGAAGATTACAAAAGATAAGATGGTTCAGAGAGAAAAACCAACCAGGAAGTATTGGATTTAGTAGAGGTGGAACGGAAAATATTAGAAGTAATTAAACACAAAACAGGGAAATGGTTCGGCCAAAACATGAGGAATAGTCAATGGATGAGAACGTTCATAGAGGGCAGGATCAGAACCAGAGGTAGACCAAGACAAGATTACATCAGGCAAATGATGAGGGATACGGGGAAGAGTGGCTATCGTAAGCTCAGAGAGATAACAACAATTCCGGAGAGACAGAGAAGATATTTCCAGAATTCTGTCCGCCAGTCTTGACTAGAGAAACTTACGAGAGAGATATAATATTACTTTTAATAACAGAAATTTATTAATATAAGTATTATTAAAATTTATTAATTAAGTACAGTATTTTCAAACACGAAACTTTGGTTGCGATTTCTATCATATAAATGTCATTTAAACAGGCGTTTATTAATTAACTTAATATAGATTCCACTGCGGCGCGTATCGAAAAACGAAAATAGTATTTTTTTTTCATGCGACTAAAAATCTAATTTAAATAGCAATTTCAACGATGATTTCTATCGTGACGTCTAATGACATGAAGCTGTGTCGGCCCCACAGACTTTTGAATCTGTAGTCCTACCGTTAATTGGTCGAGCCGTCGAGTTTCTTTAACACAGAAAGTTAATAATCTGTCGATCTGCCGAGTAGCTTGTTCGGCAACCGAGCCTAAGTAAGTCATAAGGCTAGGACTCCACTACCGTAAAAACCTCTCGCCGTAAAAGCTTTTAATCACGTAACCTATTTGCGTTTGCGCTCGGATTACGGTGGAGGTCCGGCTAGCGCGAAGTTTTTACGGCAACGGTGCTGCCCCAAGTGTCGAAAGTAAATACTTCTTCGCACGTGAATTGGTAGAAACGAAAGACGGTTGTATACGTGATATATCGATATAAAGACAATGATTATATTCTACGAGTTTTTTCTGTACTATAATTACAAATGTAGTAAAAATAATATCTTTACTTTCATATACTAACTTTTATTATCGTATTATTAAGATAATATACAGCACTTATAAGCTTAGCTTTTTTATTATATACTCCTCTAAATTGAAGGATTTCCTTTGGTATCCATTATTATAATCAGGTTACCTCTTGTCGTAGATACACGAATACTTTCGGATGTTTTCGATAAATCTTTCCGGATCTATTCTAGAGTAGCCACGAGGGAACGTACACAAAAGCTCGTTTTCCGCCATTTTAGCTCCGTGTCGCGATGACCTAGATTTCACTGACTTCTGATTGGTGGAAGGTACGTCTTTACGGCCGTATTCGCGTCGAAAGTTAAACATAGCTCAACTCGCTTTTACTCTGGTTTTACGGTTTGCTCAAGCGTAAGATATCAGGGTCACGTGATTAAAAGCTTTTACGGCGAGGGGCTTTTACGGTAGTGAAGTCTTAGCCTAAATTTTGTTTCGTGAACGGAATTGTTCAAAAAACGAGGCCTTCGAAATCCGAGGTTTGATTGTATTGTTGTGCTTATATGCCATATTAACCTACCTTTTTGGTTAGCTTTTTCTGCCCTGACCTAATTTACGAACGGAGTAAAAAAGAGATTGAAACCTATTTATAAAGTTATTTATATTCAGAGACAAAAAAAATGAAAATTTACTTATTTCAAAATTTAAAATCATATTTAATGCATGCCTGTCATTTACGTCAAAATTTACAACAAAATTTATGACAAAATATTCATTCGCATATCAAATAATATTCCAGCGACAAAATTGTAAAAAATAAAAATTAAAATAAACATACTTTTCTACAACGTGCGCTGCTCCTATTAAAGTATTTCTTGTGATTAAAGAAAAAGCACCAAAAAAACTTCCTTGTTTAAATATTGCTACCTAAATGATAGTAACATTTCTTGTAAGTACAGTTGCAAGAGCTGAAATGTTTACACCTAATAAACTCACCAGAAATGGATATTCTTCTTTTTCTGCATTTTTTCCTCCAATCATTCTGCGTTCAATTACTAAAGTTATACAAAGTTTTATCAGTTACAACTTTCTCACTTAGAAAGACATTCATCATTATTTTTACCTCTACTTGTCGTGTTCTCATATTTTTCAGAAGCACAGAAGTAATATTCAGCACTTAGAAAAAGCATTAATCCAACTCTGTTATTTGTCAGCATTTAAATAAAGAAATGTGAAAACAAACAAAAATACAGTTGAAATTCAATAATAAAGCAAATAATTCTATCAAATTATAATTACCTTAATAATTTAAACTAGTGACATAAATGCAAACTAAACTTTTTACTCAATTATTAAACTACAAAAATATTAAAACATACCTTAAAAAGCTTTTCATACTTGAGATGTGAAGAGAATGTTTAACTTTATTGAATGCTTGATAGAACCTAAAAGAAATTTACGTCGTTTAGTCATCAGGTGTGTAGGGGAAATACGGACAAAATGACATACGGTTTTATTTTAGGTTCATAACTCTTTATTGGTAAATCACAGCATTGTCATATTCTACACCAATCATCTTTGGTTTGTTACCTATGAAATATACTAAACATTTACAATATTAAAATAACAGGAAAAAAATATTGTTAGTTTAATCGAGATCATCCACTATGGACAAAATGACATATACTATGGACAAAATGACATACACGTAAAAACTATAAAATTACTGACAAAGTTTACAAATGAAACGCTTGGCTGTTTTAGAAACGTCAGCGTTTAGAAGCAGCGTGAGCCCAACGGAAACAATTTAAGCACCGTAACCAGTCTTCTCCAGGCTTAGATCGGAAAACAAGATAATCACAATATATGCATGGACAGTCTTCTTCATCATCATGACAGTTATTAGGAAAATTTTCTTTTTCAAGTAACTTTTTAGTAATGTTTCGTCTCCTTTTCTCTGGCAGAGCAGCTTTGGACTCATTTTTTGATTTAATTGCCTTCATATTAGGAGTAGAAGTTAAAACTAAAGAGTTTTGTCGAGTCACGTGATTCGTTGCAAGTTTTTTGTTATGTGAAATATAATAAGTTTGTAAATAATATGTAAGAAAAGAAATAAAGTTTTATACTAAAATTTCTTTTAAACAATAATGAAAGACTTTTTTTGGAAGACATTTTTATAATTAATAAAACATTAAGAGGTTAAGGTAAGTTCCTTGACTAAGCTCTTATGGACTAAATGACAGGTATGTCATTATGTCCGTTGCCTATGTATGTCGTTTTGTCCATGTAACGTTATAAAAAAACAAAATTATAAAATAAATACAAAGATGTTATTTTTAATGGAAAAAGT